AGGGGAGCGTCAGCCCGGCCTCAGCCCGGCCCAGTGAGCCCAAGACCACCTGGGCTGAGCTCTGGGTACAGGATGGCTCTGAGGATGAGCCCCCCAAGGACTCAGACGGAGAGGACCCCGAAATGCTGGCTTTTGGGGGCCAGGGCCTCACCCCAGGTGGAGGGGCCAGCTCTGAGCGGAAGGGACTTCTCTCAGGGTCCCTGCCCCCCTCTCTGCCCTTGAGCGTGCCCTGCGTCAGCCCCTACTTCCACACAGGTGGGCACTCCAATGCTCTAGATCCCTCAGCAGAGGGCGGGGTGGGAGGAGACCCATCCCCCACTTCTCCTTAGGAAGTCCAAGGGGAGAAAAGGCCCTTTTAGTCACGGATCTGGACAAGGGCAGAGGTCAGCAGATGGGTGGGAACCTGGGAAAGAGGCAGCCAGTCCTAGTAACACCCCCTCCCAACCAGGCGCCATGGGGGGACTCTTCAGTGATGGGGAGGAGGCCACCGCCCCCGAGGACATCAGCAAGTGGACAGTGGACGATGTCTGCAGCTTTGTGGGGGGCCTGTCGGGCTGTGGAGAATACACACGGGTGAGGGGGCGCCTGCCCAAGGTGGTCCTGAGCTCCTGGTCCCCAGTGCCTCTCCTCACCCTTCTCCTCCTCAAAGGGTGTGGGGGGCACTGTGCATGCTCCCGTCCCAACCTGCAGTGCTGTGCCCTCCACACAGGCATGTGTCCAAGTTTTCTTTCACATGAATATTCTCCCTACTCACTGCACAAACAGCTCCTCTTTCCAAAGCCTTGAGCCCTCCACCCCCCCACCCCGACCTGGCAGCCTGGGCCTGGCTGAGGGACCCTGAAGGGTGAGCAGGCAGCTCCCACACTCAGGCGGCCCTGACAGGCTCCCACCCCACCAGGTCTTCAGAGAACAGGGGATAGATGGGGAGACGCTGCCCCTGCTGACGGAGGAGCACCTCCTGACCACTATGGGGCTAAAGCTGGGGCCTGCTCTCAAGATCCGGGCGCAGGTGTGTGCCAGGGGGGCGGTGGCCCCCGTCCTGGAGGGACAGCACCGAGGCTGCAGACCCCCAACCCAGTCTCTCTCCACAGGTGGCCAAGCGCCTGGGCCGAGTCTTCTACGTGGCCAGCTTTCCGGTGGCATTGCCACTGCAGCCACCAGCACTGCGGGCCCCCGAGCGGGCACTCACCTCAGGGGAGCAGCCCCCGTCCCCAGCAACGGCCCCCTCGCCCTTTGGGGGGGGACATCCCACTGCTGGCCAAGCCTCACCCAAGCAAGAGAACGGGACCGTGGCTCTGCTCCCAGGGCCTTCAGACCCCTCCCAGCCTCTGTGCTGAGTTGTGGAGCCCACCCTTCAGTGCCAGCCACTGCGACGCAAAGGCCCCTCCCCACAGCTGCTTTTCCTCTGGTTTGGGAGCAAAAACACAAAGAACTTCTAAAAAGAAAACATGTGACGAGAGGAAAGGAATGTGTTTTAAAAAACTTCTGGGGGTGACGCAGAGCCTGGCGCACACGCCTGGGATCCAGCCCGGTGCTGCAGACAAACCAAAG